AGAGAGAGAGAGAGAGAGAGAGAGAGAGAGAGAGAAAGAGAGAGGACAGTCAGAGAAACAAAGATACACACACAGAGGAGAGAGAGATAGAGACAGAGAGACTTAGAGATCATGTTTTCCTGGGGAGCCCCAGACTCTACCCTGCCTGCATGATGTGCCTGTGGAAAAAGGCACTGACATCCTCTGCATTTTTCAGAAGAAGACAGTGGTGCATAGAGAAGCCAGATGACTTGACTAAGATCACACAGGCAGTAGATGGGGAAGCAGGAGCCAATGCAAGCACCTATTTGCTTTATCCCTCCTTTCTCATCTATACTCACTGCCAGCACTTACCCCCCACAGAGCGAGTCATGCAGATATCTAGATACCTGGTGGAAACCTTCACACCCCCACATCTCTAAAGGCTAAGGAACCCATCACAAATGCTGCTAAAGTCTCAAACATGTACAAAATTCTATACACACCTTGAGCTGGCACTGCTCCAAAGCAGTGTGACTTTGAGGCCATTTTACCTTCATTTTAAAAATTCATTTTCTTCTGATGTTGTCTTCCTCTCCTGCCATTCCTGGGAAGACCTGCACATCAGAGAGCAGAGATACAGTCAGAAGAATCAGCCTCTCCATCCAACGTGTGATGTTGTCAAGATTTTCCAGTGGTTTCACTTGGGAAACAGCTACTGAAATCCCATCAGCATTCCCTTTTCCCACAGGAAAAATCTTCCAGCCTTATGAATAAGAGACGGCGCGTGCAGCCCATGTCACAGGGCTTGGACATAGTTCCAACACAATAACTGCCCGTCAGCAGCGACCAGCTTGGCTGGTGCCCAGTGCTTTAGTTGTGGGGAAAACACATGTCCTTTGCACCTTCCCTAAGTTCTTCCAGGAAATCCAGGCTTGTGAATTATATTTTCTCACTAGACTAGTTCAGTTCTCTTCCTGCTTCCTCAATAACTATCTGCTACTTCCAACAACATATGCACACACACACATACACACATATACACATATACATATACACATATATACACATACACACATATACACATACATATACACACATACACATAACACACACATATATACATACACACATATACATATACACACATACAGATACACATACACATATACACACATATACACATACATACACATACACACATACACATAACGCATACACACATATACACATACACACATATATACATATACACACATATACACATACACACATATACACATACACACATATACACATACATATACACATACATTCACTCATGCCTTTGTGCATGCACACATACACAAACACACACACACACGCACACCACTCCCTCCCTAGGATATTTTAATATTAGAACACATCATAAAGATATATGATTAAGTTTTATTCTTTTAAACTGTAGTCAGCAACAGAACGCAAATGCCCTTTCACACAGGGGATGCTGAAGTGGCTGCTGCTGTGCAGGACAAAGCGTGGCTGAAGAGTAGTGGGTGCCCCCTTCATGGTCATTGTCTCAGCCGTGTCTTCCTGAACCTGTAGAATCGCTGTAACAGTGAGCTTCCTGCAGCCCTATTTGCGCTGCCTCTGCAGCTTTTAACCTGGCAAGGCAACATTTCCCGCTGCAGACCCTTGTCTGTGCCTCTCATACAGAGCCACCTTCCTCTAGACCTGCTTTTCCTTTGCAGAGCGAGGGGCCTTTTTCCATCTCTTGGGATCTCCTCAGATGACCCTGCCAAATGAGTGCCCTTGGCCTCTGGAAATGTGACACCAGCAGATTTTCCAGATTCCTTTGTAAGTTCAGCATGGCTCAGGAGTGCGTTCTGACCAACGGAACGCTCACAAAATGATACCGTCCATGCCTTCAAGTTCTGGCCTAGAGAAGACGTGGTGTGTCCCACTTGGTTTCCTTCCTACATCAGCCAGTAGGATTCAGAGGTTGGGGGTTATGCTCTGAGGTGGCTAGGGGATGGAGCAGCCCTAAATGGAAGAGGATTGGATCCCTGAATGACCATCGGAAGAGGGCTCCCTTGGATCATAGTCTACACAGCAATGTGGCATAACAATAGACTTTTGCATTGGTAAGAAACTATAATTTGGGGATTTTAGTAGATGTCTCATGTATATTTGTGTTAGAGTTATGCAACAAAATTTAAATATGTTGCCCTTTGGGTCAGATTTAAATAAATGTCAATATCAGAGCTAGAGAGATGGCTCAGCAGTTAAGAGCACTGGCTGCTGTTCCAGAAGAACTGAGTGCAGTTCCCGGCACCTACCAATTGGAGGCTCACAACTGCCTGTGTTCCAGGGGACCCAATGCCCTCTCTGACCTCTGTAGGCACTGCATGCACATGGTGCCCATACATACATGGAGGCAAACACTCATGCACATAAAAATGATAAGTCTTTCAAAAAAGCAAACATCACTTGAAAATTATTCTACCTTGAAAAAAACTAAACTACCAAATGAACTGAAACCAAATTAATTTATATGAGATTAGTAATTTATCTAGTATGATTTATTGTAACTCATCTATCAAGGGAGGGAATGAGTTGAAATATCTGGATAAAATTCTCAAGGTTTTATATCCTATTTATGAGTCCTCCAGAGTTTTGTATCAAGTTTGTTCTCTGATTCTGAACTCCTTCAGAAAGCAGTTTTATATTTAATCCAGAATGTTTGGTTGTTGCCAGGCATCCACCAATTAATAACACAAGCCCTAACTTTTAAAGCCAAAGCCAGGATGGGGTTGAAGAAAAGGACCCTGGAATTCTTGCCCTTAGGACTGAGAAAACAAGAAGGTTTCATGTTTGAAATTCCGTACTAGGTTTTCTCGTTTTTCCCCTTTTGGCTTCTGCTCTAGGAAAGAGGAAGGAAGGAATGCATAATTGCAATTCATTACCTAAAAGCTGGGGATTGATGGATTTTTGTCTGATGCTCATCGGAGAAGAGATGCACATCTACAGCAGAGAACACAGGCAGGTGTGAGGACGGGTGGACAGCAGGTGGAAGGACGGATGGACAGCAGAAGGATGCTCTCCACGTGAAAGGGAGAGAAGCAAACCCATAAAAGTCAAACCAGGTCCTAAAATTGAAGATGGAACTCAGGCCAGTTCTCGAAGGGGAACCCATGTAGGAATAAGGTATGCCATGAAGGAAAGCTGCCTACTCACAGTGAGCAATGGGAGAAGACATGTTCATGTATAGGAAAGCTACATATGAACATGGTGCCAGTCATGGGGACTCTGAGACTGAACGTGTTGTACCCACACAAATCCCAAGTCTCAAGCCTTCTGAATTGGTTACTTTTCTTGTTGCTGAGGCAAAACACTTGACAGAAAGCAACTTTTGGAAGGAAGGGTTTATTTTGGCCTTTGATGGAGAGTGAGGTCAGTCCATTTAGGCAGGGAAGGCCCGACAGCAGGAGCAGGAGGCAGCGGTTCCGGCACAACCGCAGTCGGGAAAAGAGAAGAGGATTGCCGGTGTTCTGCAGCTTCCTTTCTCCTTCTGTTTCAGCCAGGATCCCAGCCTCTGCGAGGTGCAGTGTACCTATGGGTTGGGTCTCTACTTCAGTTAATTCTCCCTGGAAACTCCCTCACAGGTGTGCCCAGAGGTGCAATGTCTGAGTGGTTCTAAATCTAGCGAAGTTGGCAAGAAAAGAGGCTAGCTGTCACAGCATCCCTTCCTGTTTAGCTCTGCCCTGAAAGCAGCCTCGCTGTGAGCAGGCAACTGACTGTCAGGCATCCGCATGGTGAAGCATGGAGCAGGGGAAATTGTTCACACAAGGGGAACTAAACTGGGCTGGGACAATATGCTGGTTTTCAAATGAAGACCAAACATTAAGTGGGATAGTATGCTTCCTTCTGCCAAAGGAAACATTCCATACTGTGCAGGCAGGCAGGAAGACTACTCAGGCCTAGGAGAGTAGGTGAGGAGATAGAGGATTTGTGGGGTGAAACATAGCAAGGCTGAGAGTCTCGCTAACAGGCACCATGCTCGCACATAGCTTTGCTACTCCGGAATGTATGCCCCGATTTTGCTCACTGTTTTGTTTAGGCAACGCTCTTCATGATAGGTCAGTCCGGAATTTCAAGTCCTTGTTTTCAACCATGTCCCGGCTTTGGCTTATGTTGCTCTTGATGAACAGATTCTTAATGTGGTGGTTTAAATGAGAATGTCCCCATAGGTTCAGACATTTCACTGCTCAGTTCCCAGCCGGTGGCACTGTTTTGGAAGGCTGAAGAGGCCTGGCCTTGTGGAGGACGTCTGTTCCACAGCGTGGGGCTTTGAGAAGTCAGAGTCTCGCCCGTCATCTTCTCTTTCTGCTTCACGCTTGAGTTTGAAGATGCGAGCTCTCAGCTTCCACCTCCCCCCTCCATGCTTGCCCCTGGCTGCTATGCCTCCCTGCCGAGATGGACTCCTCTTGCTCTGGAGCCAAAGCCCAAAATAAACTCTTTCTTCTATAAATTGCCTGGGTGTTTTATCAGCAAGAGAAAAGTAACTAATATTCTTGGCAGCATCAATCATCCCGATTTAAATCTAGCTCTGTTTTCTGAAGGAATTCGGAATCACAAAACAAACATGAGACAAAACTGAGTCTTGTGCGCAGACCACACTGCTGCCTCGTTTCTTTCTCTTTCCTGATTTCTCCTGGTCATTTTCCCTCAGTTTTTACAACTTTCTCCTTTCTTTCCTTTTATTGAAAACAGATTTTTTCCCCTTCAATATTGTATCTTGATTATGGCTTTGTCCTCCGCTATTCCTCCAAGTTCTTCCCTTCGTTCCCTCCTACCCATATCCACCCGCTTTCTCTCATTAGAAAACAAACAGCCTTCTAAGGGATAATAATAAAACAAAATATAATAATTTAAAATAAAAACTAGTATGTCAGAATAGGACAAAAAAAAACCAGAAAGCAGAGAGCCTAGGAGAAGGTGTAAGAACCAGACCCATTATTTGTATACACAGGAAATATANNNAAGCCATAATATATACACAAAAGACCTGTAGGGTAGAAAGAAAGAAGGAAAAATATAAAAAAATTAAAATAGATAAAATTTAAAGAAAAAAAGAAGACTCCGTCGTACTACATTATGAGACAAGGAACCTCCAAAGATGCTGTTGAGTTTTTTTTTTTCTGTTGACTGTCTACTGTTGGCCATGAGACCTACCCTTAAAAGTAGTTTGTTTCCCCAGTTAGACTCCCTTGGAGGAAATTAAATTATATTTGCAAATGGTTATCAATTGGAGATATCTCCTAGGTTAGGGGTGGAGACATGTGTCTACTTCTCCTTTCATCTCTAGGGCCCTCTCTAGTGTAGACCCTTGCAAGCCCTGTGCTTGCTGCCTTAGTCTTCATGAGTTCATATGTGCATCGATCCTGTTGATTTAAAGGATCTTATTTCTATAGTGCCCTCTACCCCTCTGGCTCTTACACTCTTTTTGCCTTCTCTTATGTGGGGTTCCCTGAGCCTTGAGAAGAGGGATTTTATGGAGAGATCTCATTTAGGGCTGAGTGTTCCAAGGTCTCTCACTCTTTGCATAATGTCAGGCTGTGTGTCTCTGTATTTGTTCCCACTTACTGCAGAAGGAAGCTTCTCTGATGATGGCTAAGCAAGGCATTGATTTATGAATGACATTATGAGTCATTTTCTTGCTCCCCCAACAATAGTAGCATTTGGTTTTATCCTAGGTCCCTGGGCTATCTAGTCTCAGGTTCTTAGTCACCCAAGCGGTGTCTGGTATGGGTTCCATCTCATGGAGTGGGTCTCAAGTCAAATCAGATATTAATGTGTTACTCCCATAAGCTTTGCGCTACTATTGCAACTAGGATATCTTGTAGGTAGGACGCTATTGTAAAAGCATTTTGTGGCTGGGTTGGTGCTTACATTTCACCTTTGGTAGCATGCAGAGCACCTTCCTGTACCAAAGACCACAGCACACAGTGGCTAAGGCCACTATGTAAGCAACAGCTTGGCTCTCTGTGTTCAATGAGTGTGTACGTGTTGTCTTCGCCAGTGGGTCCTTGCCATCAGTTTGTGGGGAACAGCTCAAAATCTTGACAGCAGCCTGGGTTGTTTGAGGGTTACTATGGGGCCCCTTTGGCCAACATCTCAATTAGATGTAACACAAGCCCAGTTTTGGAAGCTTCATTTGGGGAAAAGAGATGTCCAGTTGGGGTCCTGTTTCCCCCATTATTTTATCATTTTACTTAGAACATCTTCATAAATGTATATATTTTAGGAAGCTTATACTGTATTAAGTTTCCATGCTACCCCTCAAATGGCCCTTAATCTTTGCTGTCTGCCCCTATTTTCTCATCCTTTCTTTTCTCCTTCTCTTCACTTGATTCTCCCTTTCTCTCTCCTCTTCCTCACTCATCCTTCTTCCTTCTCTTTCTCCACATCCATCTTTAGCCACCTTGTTTCTTCTACTTCTCTTGCTTTGCATTTCAACTCTATTCTTTTCCTTCTTCTTTTCTCAACAATTTTTATTATCACTTTAATTCTTTAAATACTTATTTGACCCAATAAATCATAAAAGGAACTAACTCTTGTAGTTTATTCAAGAGTGGGCCCAATTTTTCCAGAAGAGTTCAGCTCTCGGTTCTGATCTCTCCCCTTTTAAAAAAATTTCTTTCCTTTTATTTTTTTTTAAAAAAGATAACAAACTATCTTTTTCCATTTTATATACAATCCCAGTTCCCACTCCCTGCCCTAAGGATAATGCACCAGATGAAGGGGAACACGAATGAAGTAATCCCATACTAGCTCTGAAAAGGGTATAATAAGGGAGTATAATAAGGGTTCTTTATTTAAGGGGGAACTCATAGATCACAATGGGAAACAGGAATGGAATCCAGTATTCAGGTTTTGGAGAGGAGAGGAGAGGAGAGGAGAGGAGACGAGAGGAGAGCAGAGAGAGAGAGAGAGAACAAGAGAGCAGGGAGCACACACCTTTTGGTATCCAAAGCTACACCCAACCTGGTCCAGCCTCTCAAAGGCCATTGACTGAAGGAGGTTCTCTATCACCTCCCCATTTTGTCTAAATAAGAGAGTTTCAAGCCCAATACAAAACTATATACAATAAGAGCAGATATCAAGTATAAACATTAGAATTATAACCAACATAAACATTATTAAGCAAGAAACATACATTAAATGTTTTAATGATTATTTTATCCTAATAAGTCTTGTATTAAAAAATGGTTTGGCTAAATCATAAGAGGACAGTAACTACGACTACCTAGTCTTTAACCCCACCGAAGGCCTGAGAAGAAAGATAGTATTACTTGAGTAGGCAGGAAGTGCAGTCAAGCAGTTTCCAATATGTGCAGTAGATGACAGAGACAACTGTCTACCTGGGCAATTGCTCAAAGTCTCATTTGCAATATTGGAGCAACCAACTTTGGCTAAGGCCTAGAGTAACTGACAGACCATTTCTGGAGGCAGGAAAAAATTTTAAACCATCTTACCCTGTCTTGGTAAGATTTGGTAGTCTTTTTTGTATATCCTGCTTGTCCAATCTGGACACCGTGAATTTTGTCAGTGATCGAGGCTTGGGCAGTTCCTTGCCCAAAGGTCAGTTTTGCCAAGAAGAAAACAACCTCCAAGTGGAGTGTCTTTGGTGCTCAACATTTTCTCGCGAGTAGATGGGTGCTGTCAGGAACAATTGTGTCTCATGTCAACAGAACCTTAAATTATTTAAATGTCATATTTAAGGAGATTCCCCATCACCTCACCTACTCCCATTCCCTCCACCTACCCCCCCACCCTACCCCCATCCACTCCTCAGAGAGGGTAAAGCACATTGCTTTGGAAAGGTCCAAGGCCCTCCCTACTATTTCTAGGCTGAGCAAGGTAGCAGTCAAAGAGAATAGGTTCCGAAAAAGCCAGTACAAGCAGTAGGGATAAACTCGGGTGCCACTGCCAGTGGCCCCACAGTCTGCCCAGAGATACAACTGTCACCCTCATTCCAAGGGTCTAGTTTGGTTCTATGCTGCTTCCTTCCCTGTCTGGCTGGAGTTGGTGAGCTCCCATTAGCTCAGGTAAACTGTTCCAGTGGGTGTCTCCATCATGGTCTTGACCTTTACTCATATTCTCACTCTTCCCACTCTTCAACTGGACATTGGAAGCTCAGCCCAATGTTCTGCTGCATGTCTCTGCCTCTGTTTCCATCAGTTGCTGGATAAAGATTTTATGGTGATATTTAATATAGAAAGCATCTTTAGCAAATGGTGCTGGCATGACTGGATATCAGCATGCAGAAGAATGGAAATAGATCCATATCTATCACCATGCACAATACTCAAGTCCAAATGGATTAAAGTCCTCAGTATGAATCCAACCACACTGAACCTGATAGAAGGGAAAGTGGGAAGTAGTCTTCGATGCATGGGCACAGGAGACCACTTCCTAAATATAACACCAGCAGCACAGACACTGAGAGCAACAATAAATAAATGGGACCTCCTGAAACTGAGAAGCTTCTGGAAAGCAAAGGAAACCTTTGCTTTACAATAAGTCTACAAGACAAAAAGGCAGCCTACAGAATGGGAAAAGATCCTCACCAACCCCACATCAGACAGATGTTCTGATCTCTTGAACAAAGGGTAACTACCTCTTTCCATCAGACAGTAAAAATGGTATCCAACAGAAATGAGGACTCTTTTACAGGAGTCTTACAGGAGATAGGTTTTTGGCCTTATTGATTCAGAATAGCATACAAAGCCCCAGCCATGTGCTATCAGTCTGTACTCATATATTGCCTTCAGCATTTTTCTTGGGTGGATGCATTCTTTTCTACACCTCACTGTTTTTAGCAAAAGATCTTTGGTTCAATCAAACACCACTTCTTATTGTTGTTGGGTTTTTTTTTTTTTTGGTTATCAATAACATTTTTATTTATAGGATGCCATTTTTCTTCAGTTCTTTTCTTTTTAAAATATAATTTCTTTATTGATTCTTTGGGAATTTCACATCATGTACCCCAATTCCACTCATCTCCCAGTCCTTCCATATCGGCCTCTCACCCTTAAGGCATTCCCCCAAAAGAAAATTTAAAAAATTCAGACCAAACCAACCAAACAACACCTCTTCACTTCTCCATCTTTCCCACCTTCCAATACTTTTTCATTTGTCTTGGTGACACTGGGAGTCGAGATGTGTCACACAGTAGACCCTTTTGTCCAATCGGCCTTATGCAAATGTTCATCACAATGAGTCATTGGTCTGGTTCAAGGCTTCTTGTTTCTGGTACATCATCATCACTAAGTCCTCACAAAACTTCTCTTGGATATCCCATGTCTGTCTGAGTCATGGAGATCCTGCAGGAAGAATTCCATAGGACCAGTCCCTTCACATGCCCCTGCAGAACATGGGATAGATATTAGGGTGGGCCAACCCAATACCCTGGATGTGGGCCTACATGGCAACTGAGCTAGTCAGTTGGGGTCACTGGGGCCACCCCCTTCAGGCAAGGGGTGGAGCTAGCTCTTCTACACACATGCCATCAGGGCCCGTTCTCCTAGGCCCATTGTGAAGGGTGGGGCCAGCTCTCTGAGTCTTGGGAGCCAGCTTTTATGTGAGGGCCAGGGTCAATTCTCTTGCTGCTGTGTCCAGTGAGGGACAAGGCCAAGTGGTCCAGGACCAACAAAAGGTAGGGTCAGCTCAGCATGGCCCTCTGATTTATCACACATAGTTCCTATGGCCCACCCCAAGGCAACATAGGCCACGGACATCAACGCAGACCCCAGTTTCCACAGGACCAAGGACCTAGAC